GGTATAGGGGGGCATGAGGGGAGCTGAGGGTTTATGGGCCCCCAGTGGCCACAAGGGTCTATGGGGTCCCAAAAGGTTTAGAGGCCCAGAGAATCTAGGGGACATTTAGGGGCCCGCAGTAGTTCAGGGGTCCTAGGTAACTCAAGGCCAGAGGCTTTGTTTGAAGTGACTGTTCAAACAATCTGCTGCTGGAAAGTCAATCAAATAACTTCAAAACACAAAGAGATACAAAACTAATAAAAAGACATGCAAATTGAGAAATAGATGCAACCCTAACGTTTAACCCTAACCCTAATCCAAACCCTAGTACCTAACCCCCGTGACCCTAACACCTAACTGTGGGTCAGTGGGTAGAGCAGCTATCTTCCACCCGGATGGTCGGAGGTTCAAACCCCCGTTGCCCCCGATGGTTGGAGCCATCGGTTGAGTTGGCGCCGCAGATGGGTGCCCCTGTTCTGTACCAGAGACAAATTCCTTGTGTGTGTAACATACTTGGCCAATAAAGGTCCTAAACCCTAGGCACTAAATCCCATAACCCTAGGGCTACCACTTCAGATTCAATTTCAAATTTTATTTGTAGGGTCTACATCTTACTACTATTATTACAGAGGAAAAACCATGTACTTAATGTAAGAAAGCGCTCTTTTAAACCCTTAAACAAATCTTACAGAGCCACAACAAACTCTACGTTTGTAATCACATGGCTAATATGACAAGATTCTGATGGAGGCAGGAAGTGAGAAGAGTAAATAGATGGATTTCAGTGCCCCCAAGGATCTAAGGGGCCCCCAGGTGCCACAGGATCCCTGGAGGTTTAGGGGCTCCCAGGGGCCACAGAAGCTTTGAGGGTTTAGGGCCCCCAGGGGTCCCAAGTGTCTAGGGGATACTTACACTTAGGGGATCTCAGGGGCCCCAGGTTTAGGGGTCATTTAGGGGCTCCAAGGGTTCAGGGGCCCTAGGTAACTCAAGGCCAGAGCCTTTTTTGTGTGAAGTGAGTGTTAACATTTCTTGCTGGAAAGTCAATCAAATAACTTGACCAGGACACAATGTGTTAGCACATCGTGTTAAGTCAAGATTTTTATTTGCCATTTATGCATAAACAGACAGTCTAGGTATATTTTATGATTGGTGAGGCAGTGAGGGGTTATAAGATACTAAAACACAGTTTATATTCAGGCCTGTTTCCACTGCTTGGTAGAGAATGTCCTGCTGTTACTCAGGTCCCACAAGAGAACACTGTTGATGAGATGCTCTTACAAATACCTTGTGGAACATTTCTGTATTATTATTGCGCATGTCTAGTAAGGGGTTATTGCACATATATTCTCACATTTCTCACATTTTCATGTTTGCCATCAGTCTTACTGCAGTAGGGAAAAAGCTGTTGTAAAGTCTTGTTCTGTGTGTGATGATACTGTTCGCTCTGTTGTGCCTGAGGCTGTACGTGCAGTTTTTGTGTCTGACCAGAGTGTGAGCTGGGTGGCGTGGATCCCTGAGTATGTTCTCCGCCCTTTTACGACAGCGCTGTGTGTACAGTGTATCCATAGCAGGCAGTTCAGTCCCAATGATCCTCTCTGATCTAAGCTGCCCTCAAGTGCTCCTGACCTCAAATTGGATAAAGCATCACCCCAAAAGTAATTCAGTATTTATGCACAATACAAATCTGAGCCACTCTGGGTTAATTCCAAAAGGAATCACCTAAAGTTAGGAGGATTTTTAATGCTTATTGCTGTTTTGTTATTTATCCAAACGAAAATATGATTTTTCATTTTACATTAAAACTGTCATGCAGTTGTACAAACTGATTTGCTAATTAAAACTGCAAAGAAAATTCTTTAATAATCAGTAACACATAGGGACGTGAGTTTACAAAGAGGGAGAGACTTCTTGTTATAGGTGGTTTTCTACTCGTGCACTGGGTAAAGTTAAACCCGAATGACTCACTTTAACCCAGAGAATTTGAGTGTGATAGAATGTAGTTGTTTTACCCACTGAGCTTCGCAGTCAACTAGCAAAAATCACATAAAGTTGAAGTACACAATACAGTTCATTCATGACATTAGTTTCTGGTGTATTAATATACGTATCATGATTTATGTAAAAAGTTAGAGCCTCCCTCCTGCAGCTTCTTCCACAAGCTGACAGCAGGAGCCGCTTGTGTGTCATGCTTGGACTTACTTCCCATCCAGAAACTCCATGAGGGGCCTCAGCATGGCGTCAGCGTCAGCCTCTGCAGTGCCATGGTTGGGGGGGCCTTTGATCTGGTAGAGGATCTCAGCCACCTGACGCATGCAGCCGTTGATGCGAGTCTGGAAACTGGAGGGAGAGAAAGGAGAAGAAAACATCTGAGTCAGGTGGAGGCTTCTCCCTCAGACATCCACACTGTTTGTGTGTGTGTTTATATTTTACCTCTTGGCAAATAAGGTGCTGAAGTTGTCCAGGAAGGTGCTGAGCTTCACCTGCAGCTCGTTGAGGATGTCAGCTGCCTCTGCATCCAACTACAACACACATTAATGAACAGGAGGGGAAAGAAGGTAGCAGGTTATTTCAATCAGTTACACAGCCCCCAGACATAGCTTAGTGAATTTTATGAAAGAATAATGTCAGCCAAAATACTTATATACAGTGTTTGTGTCTTATATGTTAGATTTATCTTCTAAAATTTTATTTAATATGAAGAAGACAAAGAAGGTTTGCCTATATGTATAGTTAAAACTGTAAACTATCTTAATTGTGATTAAAAATAAATATAATATCCAATATTATATCAATAATGATGATGTGGATAAATATAGGCATTTATACACAGTCAGAGATTAGTCAAAATCAAGTTCTAGTCCAGAAATGCATCATGATTGTGTGGACAAGATGAGTAACAGTAGTGATTTATTTCTCAGTGTCAGTGGACGACTACAGTGAGTGTATGAATCAGTGACACACACTGTCACTTACAGTAGGGGCATATTTTGTGTGCATGGATGACGATTGCATACAGATAAGTAAACAGGAAAAGAAAAAATGATTATAATGCAAACATGATTTCAGCTGAGAGGAGTTTGAGAAACAGATGACAAGCTCATTTTTGCCTCTTCAAACCAATTTGACAGGGGCTGAAAAGACCAAGCTCTTAAGAGAACAGCGCTTCCTGAAGCTCCAGCAGGTCTTCACAATTACACCACGAGAGGTTGAAGTATGAAGTAAAATGGAGCTCTTTTGACACAAGAAGGCTGTCGCTCTTTCCTCAACTTTTTCCTTGAGATAACTTGAATTCATCAGAGTAGAAAGCAGAATTTGGTGAACATGTAATAAACATGACGGAAAGCACAGAGAGGCACACATGTACTGTACAGTATAAATTAAGAGCAAGCCTCTGAGGGCATGAGCTCTTATAGATTAAAGATGTTTTTAAAAATTCTCTATATAGGCATTTTTAGTACAGTAGGAAACTGGCAATAATGCACATATGAGATAGAACTGTTTTGTTATTCAGCATTTACACAGAGCAGGTAAATATGAATGAATGTTACACAGACTGCTCTGAAAAGGCTAAGAGACGGCCTTGGAGGTTTTGATGCAGGCCTTCTTACAAATGGTCTAAATCCTCACAGCCACTTCTATTTTTAGCTCACAATGGTGGTTAATTAGGGGCGGCATGGTGGCACAGTGGTTAGCACTGTGCCTGATGGGTTCTCTCTGGGTACTCTGGCTTCTTCCCACACTCCACAGAGATGCAGCTAAGGTTGACCTGTGACTCTAAATTGCCTGTAGGAGTGAGTGTGGGTGTGTGTCTCTAAGTGTCAGCACTGTACCGTGACCCTCCTCAGGATAAGAGGTATATATAATGGATCAATGTTGGTTAATTTGATGCGGTGGTCAGGCTCAGGTGCAAAACAGTACCCCTAGGTCTGACATGCATTCAACAGCCTGCCCAGGTTCACTTCAGCGCCTGCCTACACTGGGTGTAAGGAGCCAAAATGCACTGCAGCCAGTCCTCTTGCCTAAAAACTCAGCTTTCCAAAACAAGAAAAATAAATAATAAAATGGGGCAATGTTGTTTAAAATAAGCAAAATATCTGCCAACAGAACAGGAAAAGTTAACTTGCCAAGATTTTTAGAAACAAATAAAAATATCTAGTCTTAGGAACCCATAGATATCTTAAGTGCAGCAAGACTAAAAACAAGTATATGTATCTCATACAAAGCAGTTTTGCACTTCTCAGTATCGATCAAACAGCTTTATAATTCTGTTAATTCTAACTTCGAGAATTAAGTTACTCAGAGCCGGTATTAAAATCTCAGTAACATAAAAACTGTCTGGAAAGAAGAAATATCTTGTCAGAAAAAAACCAAACGCCTGGCACCTTGATTCAAAAAATTCCATCTTAGATTTCACTTTTTGCAGTGAAAGGCTGAATTGTAAATCCTGTATGTTTCTGGAACTGGGGCCCCAGTTTGTCTCTGTAATCTGCACAGCACAAAATAAATCTGACCTGTTTTAGAACTCTGGGATGCCACGGACACTAACAGCTTTAGTGCAGCTGAGTAAAAGAAAGAGTATGTGCTTTTGGCACATGTGTGGTTTTAGACAACACAAACCAACTTCTCAACGCAGATTTGCCAGTTTTCGATATCATTTATGACAGCGTTTCACCCGACATTAAAGCATGACTGTCTTTTTTTCACTAATTAGAATGATTTATATTAAAGAAAATGCTGGTAATACAAAGAACTGACAGCACAGCATCTTGAGGCTGATCACATAAAATTCAGCTAAAATACCAAATAAAAAAGAAATGTGCAGCTTCCTGATGAAAAGGTTTAAAATTTGCAACTTATGCCAAACATCTAGGCATTTTGACAGGTAAACACATAATAAGATAAGACTTTAAAGGCCACCCCCACACATGGTTTCATTTGTTTTAGGCCTCTGCTGCGGACTGCGTGAGCATGTGCAAACCAAGTCTGAATGGACACACGTCCTCCGCTGAGACCGTTACTTTCTTATAGGTGTTGTGGTAATCTCTAAGCTTGACCAACTGCAACTTAAGCAAACGCCTACTTAGTCAGAATAACTGGGTAGATGCAAAGGGCTTTAATGCTAAAACATGCTGTTTTCAAAAACATTCAACCATCTACTCTGCGAAGCTCAGCTGTCCATTGGACATGCAGTCTGCAGGGTGAACTGGCCTCAAGGAGCCTGGTAACAGACCTTCAGTAAATCTGTTAAAGGCTGCCTGGAACTCAGTATGCCCCACATGTTAAGTGCCTAGACACTCAAAAGTTAAAACATCCAAAGAGTCTTTGGAGGAAGTGTGCTATAGATAACTGTGGAACTGCTTTATTAGTTAGAAGATGTTGGGCAAACTGCCACAACATATGACTGGACTACAAAGGGGCCATGACTTTCAGGGGACAGTGCTTTATTACCTTGCATTTTAATGGAGAAATGTTGCAGCGAGTTAAGTAAGTTCACGTGTCCACTCTGTCCCTTCGGAATAAGTCTGTCTTGGTCTAAATCCAAAAATTAAATGCCCATCTGTGTTTTTTGTGAAGTGCAAGTATCGAGCACAGTGAAATGTCTATAGGCATTTGAAGGTGAAGGTGCCTATGAGTGTGTGAGGAGTCCTTGAAAGACAAATGAAAACACAAGGCAGCAGTGCTTTATAATACTTTGTTTTGGGCAAGAAGACAAATCAAGAGCAGTGTGTGCAAATATAAAATATCAGTGCAGCTGCTATGCTTTCACCAGCCTTGTTCTGGCACACAGGGTGCCATAGAAAAGCTTTTGGAAGTGGCTGTGTGCTGCAATTCAATGGAGGTGGGGCAGTTAAGCAGACTTACATCTGTGACACCAGCCAGTTAGTCATTAGCCTTAAAGCTTTCTCTCTTGCACAACTTAATGAATACTGATGAAAATACTTCTGATAAAACACAGATCTCACCTTTGTGTTGCTTGTCCAAAGAAAAAAAATGCTCTTAAGAAGAGAAATACACACACAAGCACACACATACATGCCAGGACATACACACAGTCCTCACAGACTGACATTAGGTGTCCTTTACAGGTAACATGTTTGTCTGACTCTCTTCTCGCTCTCCAACACACAACTGTACCTTCTCTGTGGCAGCTGTGACTTCAGTCTTCCCGGAAAGACAGAAAGGAAAAAACAAGAAAAGACACAAAAGTAAAATAACTAAACTACAGACATCACTGTGCAGGGTATCAATGATTAAAACAAAATAAAAAACATCAGACCTACACATACACAGAGTTGTACACTATGATATAGAGCAGGCAAAAAGGTTTCTTTTCAGTGGGGTTGTGTTATATTGTCTGGTAGATTGAGTAATGATGAGTGGATGATTTTAATAAAAGCCTTTTGATTATTGCCTCTGGCTTATTGGGATGCTGCAAGACAAAGGGAAACACTGGTACTGGTACTGCTGCCTGCTAGCTTCATCCCAAGCAGCAATTATTAGGAAGATAGTTCCATTTTTGGTAACTCATACACTGACTAATCAGACTCTTGGCTAACTGAGATGGATGTCTGCGTGTGTGTTTGTGGCTTAAATACTGACAAAAGTCTGCACTTATTAAACAGCTGCAATGTGGGCATCATTGTTCATGTACTTTGCTGGATAGCCTGTGTTTAATTGGAAGCATAAAAACAAATATGGACTACATGTCAGATGTTAAAAGAATCACCCCTTGCTAAATAAACAAAGCAACCATAATGCCCATGCAAATGTGTAGTTAAAACAAGTATATCAGATGAGAATAGCCCATTCTTGGTTAAAAAAAGTTTAAATAATATGTTTGATATAAAAGTGCAAAAATATAGAAGATATAAAAATATAAATATGAAAAAGAAACTCTGCTTTTGTTGTATCTGTACCAAAATCCCAATAATTTGCAGAGCAGCCACCAACTGTGCCATTTTTTGTCCCCACAGGTTTCCTAAATGTGGAATGGCTCATTTTTTTTGTTGCTAATCAGGTAGTCAAGCACATTATGACAACAAAAAGAAAAAAAAGCACAACAGTTCTAAGTTTAATTTCATTCATTCACAGTCACTGATTGGTCGTATCATAATGCACCCTTTGTTGCTCTTACTGTGTATTAGGTCCACTGTCCCTGTTAGCCTCTAGCTCCTCCAGACAGTGATTAACAAAGATGATTTTTGCTTTCAGGCGACACCGTCATACATCCCTTTGGGCTGATTCTAAGGTTTTATATCTGGGTTGGAGCTTCACATCCCCCCGAATAAGCACAGCTAAAAACAAGCTGTGACAATTTAAGGGTACAAGCCGTTTCTCTGACAGCGACATGGATAAAGCACACACAGAGTCTAGACCTTCCGATAGCGTCCAGTTGAACATCAGCAGACAAGATGTGTGACTTCACCCACTTGAATCACATTAGGATCATTAACACCAGGCACACTGGTAGCATACCCCATTGGGATTTAAATGTCTGGAGCTCTGGACAGACGGCAGTCTACCCTTCCAGCCACCAAATCATTTCACTAATAATTGGCTCCCTCTGTGGCTGAAGGTGTGGAAATGTGAGAATAGTTTACAGGAAAACCTGTAGAATCTTGGACGCACTGGTGTGGAACTGACTGGGAACTGTGCAGTAAAAACCTTCTGAAGAGTGACAGTCTGCACTCTGGCATCATGGTGTCATAAATTAAGGCAAATACTGTATATCTGCTCTATCCTTCACCTTAGCCACCGGACGGCAATACTGCTGGTCATTTCTTGTAGATTTTCTTTTATTTGCCCATCTGTGAACTGTCAGTGCCCCCCCTCAGTGGATCTTTGCTTTCACTCTAACTGCCTCCCTGAGCACCCACACTCCTGCCGCCTTCATTTCACTCCATCTAAAACCAGAGTACAGTGTTACATATCATCACCTGTTAAGTTGGCATGGAGAACTTGTTTGCAAACAGCTGGTTATTTCCAGCACTTACAGAGCAACATTACCATTCATCTAGAGTCACACTGCTCTGCACTCTCTTTAGGATCTGCTTCTGATCTCTACCAACTCCTGAGGGAAATATCTGGCTCTTTAGCTGCTAAATTCTCCACCAGCTAGTCTCTAACTGTGTCTGTCTGCTGTTTGCTGATGAGCAGGTAGTGCACTGTGGGGTTTGTAAAAGAGGTTTGTCACTGAAAATAGCCGCCTGCTGCACCCGAAAAACAAGAGGATACCAAAACAGTGAAGCTGCAAAAAAAAAAAATAAATAAATAAAAAAGACAGACATGGGGAAGACACGTGGTGATGCTACTCTGTGATGAAGGCAAAGAAAATACACAGACACACAATCAGACACTCTTACACACGATAACAGCAAAGTGAATGGGAGGCGACTGCATGTCAGCTCTGAGTTGACAGCCAGTGGGAGAGAAGAGGAAGGAAAGGAAACGCTGGAGGGGCCGACGTGTTGTAAAGACCCCAGACCTTCTCCTGCTCCTCCTCCTCCTCAGTGTCATCACAGGCTCAGGACTCAGACAGATGGCAAACAACTGTTTTCCACTACCACCAACTTCCACCAGTTAACTGTTATATGAGCATAAACACACTAAAACTGAACCCTAATTCTCACCATTAAAGTTTTAGGAGACAAAATCTGCTGAGTGATGAGAGTGAAAAAAGGGAGGATTAAAGCGCATATCAATACATCCTGCCTTTGCTCCTCAAGTATGGTTTGGTTTTAGTCTCATTTTCTGCATATTATAGATGCATTCTGGAGCTATAATATGCAGATATATATATCCAATATAATATATCCAATGCACGTCATTGGATTTCTAGCAAAGCACAATATAAACATAGAGTTGCCATAAAGTGAAGGTCAATTTACAAAACACACCACAACAAATAAAACACAAAGATCTGGTTGAACCAAGGCATGTGAACAGAAAACTAAAGGCTGTTTGCTCTTTCTCCTTGTTGTCATCCTGAGGATGGACAGGACAAGACGGGAGGGGACAGGACAACAGTCTACATGTGTTCATTTAGCGAAGTCACAAGAGGTCCTGAAATCTCAATTACATCCACATTATTAGAACTGTCTGGTGTAACATCACACCTGTGATTTTGCCACTACTCCAGATTTGTTCACTTCAGAAATCGATATAAGACTGTCCAAGACTGAAACTATTCTGTACAATACACTGTCCTGAAAGGGAGGCTATATAAAAAGTGCCATTTAAAAGAGAGACACCCTACGGGACATTTATTTTTGGAACAGAACACATTTCTGCTGAACACTCTGCATCCACATACTGAACTCTAGAACTAGTGAAGACACTATATTGACCTACATTTATGTCCTGGAACCCAAACCTTCATCATTACAACCACATCTCCTCAAAATGGGAACCAAGACTTCAAAATGTGACTGTGTGAACAGGTTTTTGCTCCCAGACAAAATGATGATGCTGTTGGGGTGCCTCACAATGCCCAGACAACATGTCCTCACTTTCCAAATATCTACTAAGACCTCACTGTCATGGTCTAAAGCCCCCACAAAGTTCCACACAAAGACAGAAAGAGCACACACACTCATAGCTCTAGCTAAGCCTGCAAATACAACCTGACATTTTCCTCATTAATAATTCAACTGCAAATAAAATAAGACTTCAAAACCAGTTTTGTAAAGCATACTCAGTGTGCATCAAGGGTCTTCTAGTTTTCATTAGGAAGCATGAGGCTCCCCTTCACAAATAAAACTTCTAAAGAATATTAAAAGGAAAATCACAGGGGCCCTCTTCCATTGCAATCAATATCTGATGCTTCATTTACTTCTTCAGCTATTACACAGGGACAGCATCAATACAGGAGCATGTGAACTGCAAAAGGAGTCTGTCCAATTAAATCTGGGCTCAGTTTTGGAAACTGGAGATCATTTCAGATAAAACATACACACAGGGCACAGATTCACAGTTTTTTACACAAGCTGTATATAATGAATACAAGTGGTGGAAATGAACTAAGCACATCTACTCAAGTATAATTTTAAAGTATCTGTACTTTAACTTGAGTATTTCTATTTTCTGCTACTTCATGATTCAACTACGTTTCAAATATAGACAAAATATTGTACTTTTTACTTCACTACATTTACACTACATTCAGTTACTTTTCAGAATCAGATTAATACATCAAAACACTACAATCATAAGATTCATCCATAATGGGAATTTCACAAGTTACCCAGCAGTACTTCACATTATAATAGTATAAGGTAGTTAACATTCGCTCCATCTTCACCAGCTGCAACGTAAGGTGACAAATGTGTCAGGTTTGCCCGGCTGCGCCTGCCTTCTCACTCCCCTCACTCTGTTTTTGCTCCCTTACCTTGATTACGTTATCCGACACACCTGCTTCATATCCCCTGATTACCACCAGCTGCACCTGATTAGTTCTCCCTATTTATTCCCTGCTCTACGTTCACTCCCCTGCCAGTTCTTTCTAGCGTTATCAGGCCTGTTTGTTTCCCGTTCTCTTTTACTGTATAGTATCTTCACGTTTTGTCGCCCTAGCTCTGTTCCAGTCTTTAGCTCCATTGTTTCATTCCTCCTCGCCTCTGTCGCTTCTCCGGACCACGGACCTCCTCTACCCGGCTCCTTCTCCACCACGCAGGTCGATGCACAGTCTCCTACTAACTGTATGTACAAACTCTGTTCTTCCTCAGTACTTTCCACCACGACCAGCCCGGGAGTGAGTCCCAGCGTCCGCAGCCCGGTCTTCTCCTCATCATTCAGCCACTGACTGTATTCACTTCTGCAGCTCGACACCCGGTCCCACTTCTACCTGATTATTCATTTCCTTGTTATATTTCACTGTAATTAAACTTAGCACTGCTTGCACAGAAGTCAGCCACCTGGGTCCGTCATATTTGTGACTCGCTCACCCCTGTGTTCGAGCCGATCTAACAAAATGCAACAATGCACCAACAGTTATAATCCAATAATGCGATAGAGAATAATATGAAGAGTACTTTTACTTTTGGTACTTTAGGTACATGTTACTCAGCATCTTGAATGCAGGACTTTTATTTTTACATTGTGGTATTTCTACTTTTACTTAAGTAAAAATCTCAGTACATCTTCTACAACTGCTGCACATGCCATGCACAAAATAGCCTCTCATTTAAAAGTCCTGACTGTAGCAGAGGTACATTTAGCTTCCCCATAACATTATCTGCTTCTTCACTATAACATCTCATTAAACATCTGTTGAGACAGTAACTTTATCCATTAGCCAGAACAGCTGAGGCTCTGCCACACTTATCTTTTTCACCCGCTGCTCCAAACCTTATCCAGGCCCCTACAGTCAGATGGCAAACGAAGCCATTTGAAGAAGCCATTTAGTGGCGGCTAAATACAACACTTTTATACACTATCAAGTTCAATTATCTGGCAGCCCACTGCCTGGTCTATTAAGCACTCACTAGAGGAGAGAGGCTGTCTTAGCTGCCTGCTGTAAATGCATTAAGAGTTTTGCTAGCATGTGGTACCAGAGGGTTTATGGATGTTTTGGCATCAGAGATGTGGAGGGGGGCGGTGTCGCTGCAGCCGTGACCCTGTTCAGGAATGAGCAGTATAGATAATGGATGGATGGACACAGAGGGATTTTAACCAATCCCAGCTGACATTGGGTGAGAGGTGGGGCTGACAAACAACCACACACACACACACACACTCACTCCTACGGGGAATTTAGAGTCACCAATCAACCTAAGCTCCATGTCTTTGGACTGTGGGAGGAAGCCGGAGTACCCGGAGAGAACCCACATAGGCACAGGGAGAACATGCAGACTCTACACAGAAAGGCCCCGGGTCGGCTCGGGCTCAAACCCGGAAGCTTCTTGCTGTGAAGCGACAGGACTAACCACTGTTCCACTGCCCTGTCTGTCCCTGTCTTATATATATTTCAATATGCAACAAGTCACTGCCTCCAAGCCAGCTCCAGAAACAGTTTTCCCAGTTTGGTGTTGAGGAGGCTGACTGGTCTAGACAGAAACCTGACCTCTGCCACATCAAGCATTTTGATGAAATGAACTGATGCACTGGAGTGCAGGCTGTGAGCCAGACCTTATCACCCAACATCACTAATGCTCTGGTGGCTGAATGGAAGCAAACCTGTGTTCCCCAATCTTGTGGAAATCCTTCCCAAAGGATTGGAGCCTCTTACAGCAGCAAATTAATGAACATAGTTCTGGAATTATATTTTCAGCTATTGCATGCGTGTGTAATGTTTGTGTATCCATGTACGTCTGGCAATACATTTTACATTCAAAAGGAAAAGACCGATCACAATGACAAAAAGAAAAATGAATTTGAGAATTTCTTCAGACTTTAGACACTCAAACCTAAACTTACAGAAAAAAGCAAAGGTGTAACCAATAACATTAATGAAGGCAGTGACCCAGTCAGAACAACACGACCCGAGTGAAGCAGCCATGATTCATGTGCGACGAGTCAAAAACTCCCAGGGAATCTGTCACACTGGTTGAGAAAGAAAATCTGAAAACCAGCTGTGTGGATTTCAATTTAATGCATCGGTGTTAGAACCACTGAAAAGTTACTTTACCCAAGTTTTGTGCTGAGCTTTTGTAGCTGTGACAAACAGACAAAGCTGACCCACCTCCTCATCACACTCCTCAGGTTCCTCTTCATTCTCAAGCTTTTGGGAAGAAGCAGCACAGTTTGTTTTACTCAAATTAAGTCATGTGGAAAGAAAAGCCACAGTATCTTTCTGGGATTGAAAACTGGGAGTCTAGGATGGAGGAGGAGGAGGAGGAAGGAGGAAGCTGATCTCTTGTTTATGAGTAAAATGGAATGAGCCTAAAAATAGACACACACTACTGGGTAAAAAGAGGTCTGACAGCTGAAGGTTCAGGGTGGATTTTTGCTTTAATGAAGTTGTTTATTTAGGATGTTTGTGTTCAAGAAGCAACGGGGGAAATGAGACAGAGCAAAAGGAAAAAACCTAGACGTACCCTCTCCTCCTCAGCAGTTAACTGTAGAGAGACGGACACGCACTCACTCAATCGCATGCTGCTAAAATTATCTTGAGATCTCTTGACTAATAATATTCAGGAAACATATTCGTATACTTACTTTTATTGAAGTGAGACTGAGCTGTCAAGTGAATAAAGCAGCGGACAAACAAGAGGGGGACTTCTCATAAGGGTATCATGGAAAAGTCACACATACTGTTGATTTCCCACCCACAGTGCTTTCAGATCTTTTTCCAGGTTTTCCACATTGCACACGAAAGGTTATGACTACTCAGAACCCCTGTGCTCATCTTTTAAGTGTCATCCTAATGCTTTGAAACACGCCAAGTACGTTTCAGCACAAACATTTAAATTCACCTCTGCTGCTTCTTCGGGGAGCAACCGACAGACCCAAATACATATAAAACGGTTCCATTTCAGTAATTAGGTCACACCTGGAGGACAGTGAGGTGACCCACATAGGTGTGTCAGTGTAACAGAATACACCACTACCAATAGGAAAGAAGGGGACTGTTGTGTGCAGGAATCTTGATTAGTTTTAATTAGTTTAGTTTCACTGACTGGAGCTTTTCTGGCAACATTTCAACAAATGCCTAATAAATGAATGTCTGTAACCCCACAGACAAATCCAGTGCATGGTAGAAATGATGAGAGAAAGGCTGCTGTACTGAATGCACAGCCAGGAGGTTCAGTCCAGCAGCTGGTTGCTGAGAATCACTGATCTATGCACAAGAATTACATACAGGTGAACAGAAAACACGTGGAAGCGACTCGTGAGCCATATACACAATACAGACAGCACATAAAATCAGTCACACTGACCAGGGAAGAGCTGCATACATACACTACACAACAAAACTGTGTATGCTCCTGTTCATCATCATTAAAATGTTCAAAACCGTACAGTCATTGTACTATTTTATACTACAAATAGGTACAACCTCAATGCAGCTAAATTGAGTACATCAATGACCACAGCAACAAGTTTTAAAATTTTGTTGTTTCTAGGGGAGGCACCCCCTGCTACCCCCATAATCTGAACACAAGCGTGACCCTCTGAGAAATGAAGCCAGTGCGGAGGTGTTAAAACCTGCAGTTCCTCAAATGGCCACTTGAGGCTGGCTCCAAAAGGGAGTCATTGCCCATGGACACCGACAAATTTTTATATAACTCACCTGCTTAAATTATATTGAGGCTTAATGTTAGAAAACCAATGGGTGACGCCACAGAAGGTTCTTTTATATACAGTTTGAACACTGCTTTCTCAATTAATCTGATGGATACAGTCACATTAAACTGGTTTAAGGAATGTTATGGTGAAAGATGGAGGTTGTCAGTTGTGAAAGAGTTTTCATTTAAACAGTTTGACCTTGAACCAGAAAGATTAGTGAAATCACTGGTAGTAGGTTGAAATGAGACTCATAAGACTCTCAGGTCTCTGTAGCAGGTGATTAAAAACCACTGGTGCAGAACAAGTGGTACATTTGCGTACATCTGGTTTGCTCACCTGCTTTGCTCCCATCGACTCGAACATCTTCTCCAACAGGACCCTCATCTGCTGGATGTTGTTCATCAGCACACAGGGCTGGAAGAAGACAGGCGAGGGAGACAACAGCAGAGATAAAAGTTAAAGAGCTACAGCAGTGGGCAGCAGCACCTAAAGTATTAATCTGCTCCACAGAGAGTGGAGCTTTCAGAGTGTCTGGTCTCTCTCCAAAGCAGAGATGAGAGCGGTGGCGATGCTGCAGTACTCACTATCTTCTCCTTGTCACAGTAGGAAGGGAAGCTCTTGGCCAGCAGGGCACAGTACTGCAGCAGGACTTTGGTGATCGTCTGTGGAAACAAGATAACAAACTCTTAGGTATTTACTCTTTCACTCCGATTTGTTCAGTCCATTGAGAAACTCTGTTGTTTGAGCTCAGGTAGTACCAAATATTCACACTGTGACAGCTGACACTGTGTCTTGCCAAAGGAGCTTCATGCAAACCTGTTTTTGGAACAAATCAAAATCAGTCTTTAGTCTGCAAGGCCTGTCTGACTCTCTAATTTTTCTCATTTATTGTGAAGGAAATTAACTTGGAGTTGAATGTTTTTGCTTTCAAGTCTCAAGTGGGTAGAATCTCACGAGTCCTGTACAAGTGACGTCTCAAATCCTTGTTTGTTTGACTTTAGTCCTCTAAATTTAAACAAAATAATCATTTTAGTAGGAAGCTAGGTCCGATGTGATAGCCAAAATTAAAAGCGATGAAATTGGTTTTGTTGGGGCTGCTGTAATCATGCCTGATTGCAAAAAGTACTGACATATCTTAAGTATGATGTGCTAATTTTTGGTTTTGCAATCATTCTCCAGCCAATCAGACAGTAGGTGGCACACAAGCAACATCTGGATCTCTCTTATTAAACAGTTTCTTTAAGCTTTGTCTTCTTAGCTTGTTTAGCCATGATGAAAGCAATGTTCTTGTTGCCAAGATAATAAATTTCATTATAATTTTTACTACAAAAGACATAAAAGATACTGTACAGCATCCAAATCCATTTGCCATTAGCATTCACCATGCATCAAATTAGACAGAGTTAACGGTTTAGCAGGCAAACCTCTACTATCACACAATAGTACTGTACATAATGAGTCACACATCAGCTGTATTATGTCTCACAGCTACAGTATATAAAATGCTGCATATTGACAGCTGATTGCATAATGGGCTGTAAAAAGCAGCGCTGCACCAGTAAAAGAGAGCAGGAAGTCTGCAAGCTGATGTAAACATTGAAAATTTTAATGAGGTAAGGAAACTATCTGACATGTTTGTTAGGCTTTAAGGAGACACCCAACGCCTCTCGGGAAAAAACAGCGAATGCCATGTTTATTTACAATGAACACTCCATAGGGTACTCTAAAATAAGTCAGCAAGTAAATATACTCACTGTGATGGAAACTTGGGGAAAGACCATGGCAAAACCTGTTGCATCACAGTATCTTGGACTTGCTTAACAGATTTCACTACTTTCAGCTAAATCAGCAAGCTGGCTCTCTTCTATCCATGCATTAAACAAGTGGCCAGATAGCTGCCTGCATTCCTTAGTACAGCTGCCTCTTGTTGTATGACTCTGTCTTTTTAATCTTTTTCTGCAACTGTGTCTCTTTTAATGTCGCCTCACATTAATAATGAACTGAAAGTTTTGTT